CTTTGTTTTGTAGATAGAGATGGGTTTCTCCATGTTGGTTCAAGCTGGTTTCGAACTCCTGACTGGGGACTCAGGTGATCTGTCCTGCCTCATGCTTCCCACAGTGCTGGGTTATAGGCGTGATACCAGCGCCTGTTTTTCTTTTGAGATGGAGTTTGCTCTATTGCCCCAGGGGCTGGTGTGTGGTGTGATAATTGGCTCACTGAACCATCCAGCGCCCTAGGTTCCATTCGTATTCTCCTGTCGCAGCCTCTGGAGTGCTGGGGATTACAGGGCCGTGCGCACCCCCAGCTAATTTTTGTATTTTTCGGGTAGGAGCGGGTTTCATCCATGGTTGACACCAGGCCAGCCTTGAATTCCGTGACCTCAGGTGATCCCTCTGCCTCGGCCTCTCAAGTGCTGGGATTAGGCTGGAGCCACCATGCTACATTGTTTTTTGTTGTTGTTTGTTTGTTTTTTTTATCTCACTCTGGTCCCTGAGGTTGTGTAACAGTGGCTCAATCTCCGCGCTCACTGCAGCCTTGATCTCCTGGGGCTCCAAGCAATCTCTTGACTCAGTCTCCTGTGTAGACTGGGTCACACCACACCTTGCTAATTTTTATTTTTATTTTTTTGGTAGAGACGCGGCCAGCCGGTGGTGGTCTAACTTTGTGCCCAGGTTAGTCTCAAACTCCAGGCTGCCAGTGCAATCCTCCTGTCTCTACCTCCAAGAAGTGCTGGGATAACAGGTGTGATGCCACTATGCTGGGCTGGGAGTTTCCTTTTAGAAAAAAAGGGCAGCCTTTGGCCGTCCATGGTGGCTTCAACCTGTAATCCCAGCACTGTTGGGAGGCTGAGACAGGGTGGATTGTTGGCCCAGGAGTTCCAGAGCCACTGGTCAACAATGGTGAACCTATCTTTACTAAATAGAAAAAAATTACCTGGCATGGTGGCCAAGACACTGTAATCCCAGACTACTTAGGGAGGACCTGAGGCAAGGAAGAGCTGAGATCGTGCCACTGCCTGGGCGATCAGAACAAACGCTGCAACCCCACTGCCAAAAAAAAAAAAAGCTGCGGCACGGGGCTCGACGCCATGTAATTAGCACTTTGGGAGGCCGAGGCGGGTGGATCACGAGTCAGGAGATCAAGACATCCTGGCTAACAGGTGAAACCAACCTCTCTACTAAAGAATTAAAAAAATCAGCGGGTGTGGTGTGGGCGCCTGTAGTCCAGCTTAACTCGGGACGGAGCGAGTACAGGAGAATTCGCTTGAACCCCTGGAGGCGGACTGGCACTCCAGCTTGGCGACAGAGTGATACTCGGTCTCAAAAAAAAAAAAAAAAGGAAAAAAGAAAAAAGAAAAAAAACAGGCAGCTCTACATTCCACTAGCCGCAGTTTCCAAGGGGACCAGCCGCCCTGAGAGCCTCATCTTCCCATACTCTCTCCTCTCTTCTCTTTCTGAAGGTGTGTCGATGTTATGCGGCTGGCCACCATATGTGTCCTTGGTGTTCACGCTGTGTCTAAGATCACATCTGTGATGATGACACGTGCGACCTCTGCGGCTACAACCAAGAAAACTCTACCCGGTGAGTTGCGGGGGGGGCGTTGCGGCTGGCTGGGTCCTTCCAGAGTACAGTGTCATGGTCAGAAGAACAGCGGTTTGAAGTCATGGGTTTTGAACTGCAGTTGCTTCTCTTTCTAGTTCTAGTGATGAGACAGGTGTGGCCCCTTGGAGTAACAACCCCAGGCACTTCTGAAGGCTTAGAAACCAAAGTCTGTGCTGAGGCTCAGAGTTTGCCTCAGCTGATGCCCTCGCTGGAGCCACAGGATCTGGAGTTGGAAAGGAATTAGAAGGTGTCTTGGAGCCTGGCTTTCTCTGCCTCAGCTAGGGTCTTTCAGTTTCCCTCACTCTCTTTTGGTTTCAGTGCTGGGAGACCCAAGTTGGGCAGGAAATGTACAAGCTGATGATCTTCGACTTCATCATCATCTTGGCTGTGACACTCTTCGTGGATTTTCCTAGAAAGTAAGTGTGAGGGGTGCCCTTATTATCCCCCACCACCACACACAACACACACACAACACACACAACACACACACACATATAACTGGAGGGTCCCATTGCAGCTGCATTCCAGAAGCTGCTGGATGACTCTATAGCCCTGGAAATCTGACAACTGGTAACTTTTTTTTTTTTTTTTTTGAGGCAGGTCTTGCTCTGTCACCCAGGCTGGAGTACAGTGGCGCAATCTGGCTCACTGCAACCTCTGCCTCCCGGGTTTAAGCAATTCTGCTGTCTCAGCCTCCTGAGTAGCTGGGACTACAGGCGCCCGCCACCACACCTGGCTAATTTTTTGTATTTTTAGTAGAGACAGGGTTTCACCAGACAGGGTTTCACCATGTTAGCCAGGATGGTCTTGATATCCTGACCTCGTGATTCACCTGCCTCTGCCTTCCAAAGTGCTAGGATTAGAGGCATGAGCCACCATGCCAGGCCAAGTTTTAAATGTTTTATAGAGAGGCGCTCTTGCTATGTTGCCCAGGCTGGTCTCAAACTGGCCTCAAATGATTCTCCTGCCTCAGTCTTCCAAAGTGCTGGGATTACAGGTTTGAACCATTGTGTCTGTTCATAACTGGAAACTTTCAAGTAGCTCCAGGCTGTTGACCTCAGCATTCATTAGTTGCTTATCTAAAGGCAGCATGAAGAGCAGAAATGGGGTCTCTTTCCATGAGGTTTTGCTGGGGATGGCCTTCTGCCATCAGCACAAAAGGTACAGACTCTCCAGGCGGCAATGGACGCCTGTGTCCTGATCTGGGTTCAAGCTCCCGCCCTGCCCCTTGCTAGTCATGTGACCTTGGGCAAGTTATTTAAGCTCTGTGCCTATTTTCTCACCTGTAAAATAGGGATAGTAGAAGTACCCACCCAGTAACTTTGTGGTGAGGAGTAAATGGGGTAAGTAATGCAGATGAAAGCACTGAGAACACTCCACAGTACAGAACTCAACAAAACGTTAGCTATTACCAGCATGATTATCATAAACTGTGTTGTCATTTCTGTTATTATTCTCTGTTCACTTAACCACTCTTTACCCATGTATGCAGATAATCTAGGCAGAGGCCAGAGGTCTAGTGAGTCCTTAAAAATAAATATGGAAGCCTGGGCACAGTGGCTTACACCCATAATCCTAGCACTGGTGAGGCCGAGGAAGGAGGATCACTTGAGGCCAGGAGTTTGAGACCTGCCCGGGCAAAATAGTGAGACCCTGTCCCTACAAGAAACAAAAATTAGCCAGTTAGCCAAGCATGCACATGTAGTCTCAGCCACTTGGGAGGCTGAGGCAGGAGGATCGCTTGAGGCTTGGAGGTTGAGGGTACAGTGAGCTATGATTGCACCACTGCACTCCAGACTGGGTGACAGTGAGACCTTGTCTCGGGAAAAAAAAAAAAAAAGTCAAGGATTGTATCAATTTGAGTTCCGAACTGTAGATCTGAGACTTGGAACCTGATCTTAATGATTGCTGAGTTCATTATATTCTGCATCTTTAAGACATATGACTAACCAGTGTCCATGAGAAATATGCATGGAAATAGTCCTGATCTTTGTGATACGGTTCTGTGGCCTTGGCAGACACCAGTAGCCCAAGTGAGAATTGTCTGTTTCCAGGCTCCTGGTGACCTACTGTTCCTCTTGGAAGCTGATTCAGTGCTGGGGGCAGCAGGAGTTTGCCATTCCTGATAACGTCCTGGGGATAGTTTATGGGCAAACCATCTGCTGGATCGGAGCCTTTTTCTCACCCCTTCTCCCTGCAATTGCAACCTTGAAATTCATTATCATCTTCTATGTGAAAGAGGTAAGGAGCCGGTGGGAATGGGGGCTCATATGCTGGGCCATTTTCGACCTTCCAGGGCACCAATATGTCTGGAGCTCACCTTACATCCTATGAGACATGTCAAAATTACATCCTTTATTTAAAATATATGTTTATTCTAGAAAAATATGCTTTTTTTTTGAGATGGAGTCTCACTCTGTTACCCAGGCTGGAGTGTAGTGGCGCGATCTCGGCTCACTGCATCCTCCCCCTCCTGAGTTCAAGTGATTCTCCTGCCCCAGCCTCCTGAGTAGCTGGGACTACAGGGGCCTGCCACTGTGCCTGGCTAATTTTTGTGTTTTTAGTTGAGATGGGGTTTCACCATTTTGGCCAGGCTGGTCTTGAACTCCTGACTTCGTGATCCAACCGCCTTGGCCTCCCAAAGTGCTGGGATTACAGGCGTGAGCCACCGTGCCCGGCCTACTCTTGATGAATTTTTGTGTTTTTATAATTTTGAGAGTTTTGTTAAGAATTGTTTTGTTGGCTGGGCGCGGTGGCTCACGCCTGTAATCCCAGCACTTTGGGAGGCTGAGACGGGCGGATCACGAGGTCAGGAGATCGAGACCATCCTGGCTAACACGGTGAAACCCCATCTCTACTAAAAATACAAAAAATTAGCCGAGCATGGTGGCGGGAGCCTGTGGTCCCAGCTACTCGGGAGGCTGAGGCAGGAGAGTGGCGTGAACCTGGGAGGCGGAGCTTGCAGTGAGCTGAGATCGCGCCACTGCACTCCAGCCTGGGCGCTAGAGCGAGACTCCGTCTCAAAGAAACAAACAAACAAACAAAACATCCACATACCTGTGTTTTGGCCCATTTCTCCTTCTATTTCATCAGCATGAATTCCCCAAAGTTTGGAGTCTGGATGAAACCTTTTTCATTTTGATCTGTATTGCTAGACTACCCTCTGGAAAGGTTAGAGTGATTAACATTCCCACTGTAATGCAGGAATGAGCTTATTTATCCTTATAGAAGCTGTACTCATTGATCTTAATTTTTCTTTGTTTTTCTCCTTGTAGTGGAGTCTGCTTTATACCTGCAGACCCTCCCCCAGGCCGTTCAGAGCATCCAATTCTAATTTCTTCTTCCTGTTGGTGTTGTTGATCGGGCTGTGTTTGGCAATCATACCTCTGACAATCAGCATATCACGGTAAATGCGACGTTGTTTTCTAGAACATTTCATTGCTTCTTGATCTGTTCCTCTTTTATGTAAAAGGATCCATCATATCACTTTTTTTTGTTGTTGTTGTTGAGACAGAGTCTTGCTCTGTCACCCAGGCTGGAGTGCGGTGGCACAATCTTGGTTCACTGCAACCTCCATCTCCCAGGTTCAAATGATTCTTCCAAGTAGCTGGGACTACAAGCTCCATCTCCCCAGGTTCAAACAGCCTCCTGAGTAGCTGGGACTACAGGTGTGTGCCACTATGCCTGGCTGATTTTTATATTTTTAGTAGAGACAGGGTTTCGCCATGTTGGCCAGGCTGGTCTGAACTCCTGATCTCAGGTGATCTGCCCGCCTTGGCCTCCCAAAGTGCTGGGATTACAGGTGTGAGCCACCGTGGCTTTATTGGCTTTTCTCATGGTGTTCTACACACACAGGCTGTCAAGACTTCCAAGGCTCAAGCGATCTTCTTGCCTCAGCCTCCTGAGTAGCTGAGACTACAGGTGCGCACCACCACGCCTGGCTAATTATTTAAATTTTATTATTTTTCTGTAGAGACGAGGCCTCACTATGTTGCCCACGCTGATCTCAGACTCCTGAGCTCAATTGATCCTTTTGCTTCGGCCTTCTAAAGTATTGGGATTACAGGCATGAGCCACCACACCAGGCCGAATTTTGTTTCTTCATCTTTAAATTAAAAGCCTGGACAGGTGCGGTGGCTCACACCTGTAATCCAGCACTTTGGGAGGCCAAGGTGGGGCAGGGGGATCGCTTGAGCCAAGGAGTTCAAGACCAGCCCTGGCAACATAGCAAGACCTCGTCTCAAATTAAAAACAAAAAACAAGCAAATAAACAGACAAACAAAAAAGGAAAAGCCTGGAACTTTGAGTCCCTCTCTCAGATTTTGTTCTTTTATGAGATGCAGTCTTACTCTGTTGCCCAGGATAGAGTACAGTGCTGTGATCTTGGCTTCCTGCAACCTCTGCCTCCCAGGTTGAAGCAATTCTACTGCCTCAGCCTCCCAACTAGCTGGGATTACAGGCGCCTGCCACTACACCCAGCTAATTTTTGTATTTTTAGTAGAGACGGGGTATCACCACGTTGCCCAGGCTGGTCTTGAACTCCTTATCTCAAGTGATCTGCGCATGTCGGCCTCCCAAAGTGCTGGGATTACAGGCGTGAGCCACTGTGCTTGGTGGCTCTTTTTTAACAATTTGATTCTGTATGTGTTTTGTTGCTTTTTATTGTTATGGTAATGTATGTTATATAAAAAATTCAAGCAGTACCGAAGGGTGTAAATTGAAGAGAAAAAAATTGCTCCTTAACTTCACCTCTTATTTTCACTCTCCATAGGTGACGTAATGACTGTTAACATTTTCTTATGAATATTTCTGGAAATTATTTATGAAAAGCAATTATTTATTTTTTCAGAAAAAAATGAGATAATAGTATAATCCTGTTTGGTAACTTATTTTTTCATTTAATATTTTTTCTTTTTTTTTTGTTTTCCTTTTTTTTTCACTTAGTTTTATATTATATCCTTTCTCATGTCCATGGACATACAAAACTTTTCTTTAAAAAATATTTTTAGGTTTTTTTTTCTTTCTTTCTTTTTTTTTTTTTTAAGATGCCATCTTGCTCTGTTGCCCAGGCTGGTCTTGAACTCCTGAGCCCAAGTGATCCTCCCACCTCCACCTCCCAAAGTGCTGGGGTTACAGGCATAAGCCACTGTGACTGGCCACTTTTCTCTCTTTTTCTCTCAATGGTTCGTTAGTATTCCATCATATGAATGGCCCATAAATTGTTCATCCATTTCCTTAAACATCATTTAGGTTGTTTCCAGGAATTTATTTTTATCCCTACATAAAGGGCTGCAATGGAAAGTCTTATACACAGACCTTTGTGATGTGAATTTAGTCAGTTCATTCCAGGTCTTAATGTTAGTGCTTTCCTATTGTAATTTTATTTTATTTTTTCTCTCCTTTTCATTTTGAAAAATTTGAAATCCACAGAAAAGTTGAAAAACTAGCAGCAGTAAAACTCATATGCCCTTCAATTGGATGTCCCAACTGTTAACATTTTACTATGCAGTCTCCCTCAGTATCTTTCAGGCATCGATTCCATGATCTTCCCCCCAACCACATTAAAATCTTCAGATGCTCAAGTCCTTGCTATAAAATGGCATGGTAGGCCGGGCATGGTGGCTCACACCTGTAATCCCAGCACTTTGGGAGGCTGAGGCAGGCGGATCACCTGAGGTCAGGAGTTCGAGACTGGCCTGACCAACATGGAGAAACCCTGTCTCTGCTAAAAATTCAAAATTAGCTGGGCGTGGTGGTGGGCGCCTGTAATTCCAGCTACTCCAGAGGTTGAGGCACGAGAATCACTTGAACCCGGGAGGCAGAGGTTGCAGTGAGCCGAGATTGCACGATTGCACTCCAGCCTGAGCAACAAGAGTGAAACTCTGTCTCAGAAAAAAAAAGAAAGCATGGTATTTGCTTTGTTTTTTTGTTTTTTTTTGAGAGGGAGTCTCGCTTTGTCGCCGAGGCTGAAGTGCAGTGTTGCCATCTTGGCTCATTGCAACCTCTGCCTCCCGGGTTCAAGTGATTCTCGTGCCTCAGCCTCTGGAGTAGCTGGGATTACAGGTGCGTGCCCCCACCATGTCTGGTTAATTTTTATATTTTTAGTAGAGACAGGGTTTCACCATATTGGCCAGACTGGTCTCAAACTCCCGACCTCAAGTGATCCATCTGCCTCGGCCTCCCAAAGTACCGGGATTATAGGCACAAGCCACTACGCCTGGCTGTACTGTTGTTTTTTATTTTTCAAATATTTTTATCTGAGGTTGGTTGAATTTGATGATGCAGAACCTTTGGATGTGGGGGGCCAACTAGATTTGTTTTCTCTATGCATACTTTTTTTTGGATAGGAAATAATTTGAAATTAACTTATAGACATCATAATATTTCATTGCTAAGTACTTCAGCTCCTAATACTAAGGGCACTCCTCTTTATGTGTTTCCACAATAATATATCACACTTAAGAGGATTAATACTAATATCATATTTCTGCCATTTTAAATTTCTCCAATTGTCCCTCAATAGTCTTTAGCTTTTTTTTTTTTTTTTTCTCCTGAGATGGCGTCTCGCTCTCGCTCTGTCACCCAGGCTGGAGTACAGTGGCCCGATTTCAGCTCACTGCAATCTCCACCTCTCGGGTTCAAGCAACTCTTGTGCCTCAGCCTCCCTTGTAGGTGGGATTATAGGCACCTGCTACCATGCCAGGCTAGTTATTGTATTTTTAGTAGAGACGTGGCTTCGCCACGTTGGCCAGGCTGGCCTCCATTTCCTGACCTCAGGTGATACACCCGCCTTGGCCTCCCAAAGTGCTGGGATTACAGATTTGTTTTTAAAATAGTGATCTTCCAAGTTTGACCCATTGCTTCTGTTTGTTCTATCTCCTTAGTCTCTCTTTTTTTAAATTTAAATTTAAAGTTCTGGGGTACATGTGCAGGACATGAAGGTTTGTTACCCAGGTAAATGTGTGCCATGGTGGTTTGCTATACCTATCCCCGTCACCTAGGTATGAAGCCCAGCATGCATGAGCTATTTTTCCTAATGCTCTCCCTCCTTAGTCTCTTTTAATTCCTGATTCTTTGAAGAGTCCAGGCCAGTTTCCTCACTTCTCAATTAAGAGACCGGAGAGTAGAATGCCCACATTTTGGATTTGTCTTGTTATTTTCTTACACTGTCATTTAACTTGCTCTCTCTCCTGAATTTCCTGTAAACTGGAAGTTAGGTCTAGAGACTTGATGAAATTTCAGGGTAAGCACTTTCTTTCTTTCTCTTTTCTTTTCTTTTGTTTTCTTTTCTTTCTTTCTTTCTTTTTTTTTTTTTGAGATGGAGTTTTGCTCTTGTTGCCCAGGTTGGCGTGCAGTGGTGCAATCTCTGCTCACTGCAACCTCCGCCTCTCAGGTTCAGGTGATTCTCCTGTCTCGGCCTCCCAAGTAGCTGGGTGGGCATGCACCACCATGCCCGGCTAATTTTTGTATTTTTAGTAGAGATGGGGTTTCACCATTTTGGTCAGCCGGGTCTCGAATTCCTGACCTCAGGTGATCCACCTTCCTCGGCCTCCCAAAGTGCTGGGATGACATTCGTGAGCCACCTTGCCCAGCCGGGGTAAGCATTTTTGACCCAAACATTCCAGAAGGCCCAGGAGGTCAGGTGGCTCCTTGTAGGCCACTGTTAAAACATTCTGGGCGTGCGGAGGCGGGACACTCAGCCTGTGCTGCATGCTCCTTCTGAGCCTGTTGGTCTGTGTCCTGGCAGCATCCCTTCCTCGAAAGCCTGTGGGCCGTTCACCAACTTCAACACCACCTGGGAGGTCATCCCCAAGACGGTGAGCACCTTCCCCAGCTCGCTGCAGTCCTTCATCCACGGCGTCACTTCCGAAGCCTTTGCAGTTCCTTTCTTCATGATTATTTGGTGAGTGAGAACCACCGGGACCCACTGAGGCACGTGGGCTCCTCCCATTGGGAAATGGCAGGGGGTGGGGGTCACTCTAGACTTGACAAGTTACTGAGCTTCTTTGAACTGCAATTTCCTGTCTCTAAAATGGGCATAACAGGCCAGGCGTGGTGGCTCAGGCCTGTAATCCCAACACTTTGGGAGGCTGAGGCGGGCAGATCACTTGAGGCCAGGAGTTCGAGACCAGCCTGACCAACATGGTGAAACACCATCTTTAGTAAAAAATACATAAAATTAGCCAGGCATGTAATTCTAGCTACTTGGGAGGCTGAGGCAGGAGAATCACTTGAACCTGAGAGGCAGAGGTTGCAGTGAGCTGAGATCACGCCATTGCACTCAAGCCTGGGCAATAAGAGTGAAACTCTGTCTCAAAAATAAATAAATAAAATAAATAAAAAGGATTTTATCCAAAGCTTGAAATCACTGGGTTTTATTATGTTTTCCCTATTTTACAAATGAGGAAATGGGCTAGAGCGTCTCCACAGTGATCATCCACATGTTAATTACATGCCTGGCTGACTTTCTCAACCATGTTGTTCTCTCTTTCTGTCATTCTGTATGTACAAGGGGAACATCAGCAAATTTTAATATTAAAATTAAAAAGCAAGGCATAAATCAGATTCTGCTGCCACTGCCAAATAAAAACTTCAGTAGCTGTTTCTTATACCCTCTGCTTGGAAGAGATAAGGGTTTTTTTTATTTTTTGTAGAGCAGGGTCTGGCTCTGTTGCCCAGTCTGGAGTATGGTAGTGCGATCATAGCTCACTGCAGCCTTGAACTTCTGGGCTCAAATCCTCCTGCCTCAGCTTCCTGAGCAGCTGAGGACTACAGGCTCACGCCACCATGCCTGGCTAATTTTACATTTTCTTTTTTTTTTTTTTTTTAGACAGAGGCTTGCTCTGTTGCCCAGGCTGTAGTGCAGTGGCGCGATCTCGGCTCACTGCAACCTCTGCCTCTTGGGTTCAAGCGATTCTCCTGTCTCAGCCTCCTGAGTAGCTGGGATTCTAGGTGCCCACCACCACTCCCAGCTAATTTTTGTATTTTTATTAGAGACGGGGTTTCACCATGTTGGTCAGGCTGATTTCAAACTCCTGACCTCAGGTGATCTGCCTTCCTCGGCCTCCTAAAGTGCTGAGATTACAGGCATGAGCCACCGCGCCCGGCCATATTTTATTTTTCTAGAGATGGGGCTCTCACTATGTTGCCTGGGCTGGTCTCAAACTCCTGGCCTTCAGTGATCCTTCTGCCTGGGCAAAGCACTGGGAATATGAAAATGAGCCATCGTGCCCAGCCTTCTTTTCTAACAAAAGTAAAACTGTTTCAAGGAAAAATACGTTGGGTTGTTTTTCTAGTGGCCTTCAGATGATCCAGACTCCCTAGTGACCTGTCTGTCTTGTGTTGCAGCCTCATCATGTTTTACTTCATTGCCTTAGCTGGAGCACACAAACGGGTGGTCATCCAGCTCCGAGAGCAGCTATCCCTGGTAAGGAAGCACAGCCCCAGAGGGTCATGACTGGGGACATTTACCCGGGACACCACAAGGAAAGTGGTGTATTCCTGGGAGGGAGTGAAATTACTGCAGCCTTCTCTCACCACCACCTCCCCAAAACTCTGCCTTCAGGCCTAGCCCCGTCCAGCTTCATTAATTCACTGATTCATCTATTCCTTCAAGATGTGTATTAACGGGGGTACCGTGGCTCATGCCTGTAATCCCAGCACTTTGGGAGGCCAAGGCAGGCAGATTACTTGAGCTCAGGAGTTCAAGACCAGCCTGGCCAACATGGTGAAACCCTGTCTCTATTAAAAATACAAAAATTAGTTGGCACCTGTAATCCCAGCTACTTGGGAGGCTGAGGCAGGAGAATCCCTTGAACTCAGGAGGTGGAGGTTGCAGTGAGCTGAGATTGTGCTACTGCACTCCAGCCTGGGCGACAGAGTGAGACTCCATCTCAAAAATAAAAATAAAAAAAGATGTGTATTAAGTACGTACTCTGTGCCTTGTACTGTGCTGGGCTGGGACACTTTGGTGAACAAGAGATAAAACTGCTGGGTAAGGCCGGGCGCGGTGGCTCAAGCCTGTAATCCCAGCACTTTGGGAAGCCGAGATGGGCAGATCACGAGGTCAGGAGATCGAGACCATCCTGGCTAACACGGTGAAACCCCGTCTCTACTAAAAAATACAAAAAACTAGCAAGACGAGGTGCGGGCGCCTGTAGTCCCAGCTACTCGGGAGGCTGAGGCAGGAGAATCCCTTGAACTCAGGAGGTGGAGGTTGAAGTGAGCTGAGATTGTGCCACCACACTCCGGCCTACAAAGAAACAAAACTGCTGGGTAGTTAATAAGATAAATGCTGATTAATTATAGCTTCTCTGAAGATAATAAAAACAAGGTAGAGTGACGAGTGGGCTATCTGTTACTGCAGATGTGGCTGTAGAAGGCTTCTTTGAGGAGGTGATTTTTTTTTTTTAAATTTAGGATGGGGTCTCACTCTCTTGCCCAGACTGGGGTGCAATGGCATGGTCATAGCTCACAGCAGCCTCAAATTCTTGGGCTCAAGTCATCCTCCCACCTTAGCCTCTCAAGTAGCTGGGACTATAGGCATACATCACCATGCCTGGCTAATTTTTTAATTTTTTAAAGACATGAGGTCTCCCTATGTTGCACAGGATGGTTTGAACTCCTGGGCTCAAGTGATCATCCCCTCTCAGTCCCCCAAAGTGCTGGGATTATGGGCATGAGCCTATAATGGTGAAACCATTATATAGCTGGACCCAGCTGAGACTTGAATAATAGAGAGAGGAGCCCATTATCAGAGGTCCTATTTAAGGATGAGAGTAAGAGGGAAAGAGCACAGTGAGGAAATGAGGCAGGCACTTCTGGGGGACAGGAGGGAGGGGGCGGTGTGGCCACAGGGTGGTGAGTGATGGGAAGAGGCAAGGTGATATTGTAATAGCAGCCAGAGTCATTGAGTCACAGTGCCTTGAGGGCTCTGTTAAAACAGAGTTTTATTCTGAGTGGGATGGGAAGCCGCTGAAGGGTGTTAAGTAGGAGTCTACTGTGCATTTTTTTTTTTTTTTTTGAGACAGAGTCTTGCTCTGTCGCCCAGTCTGGAGTGCAGTGCTGCAGTCTCTGCTCACTGCAACCTCCACCTCCCGGATTCAATCGATTCTCCTGCCTCAGCCTCCCAAGTAGCTGGGTGGGCATGCACCACCATGCCCAGCGCATACTTTTTTTTGGATAGGAAATAATTTGAAATTAACTTATAGACATCATAATATTTCATTGCTAAGTACTTCAGCTCCTAATACTAAGGGCACTCCTCTTTATGTGTTTCCACAATAATATATCACACTTAAGAGGATTAATACTAATATCATATTTCTGCCATTTTAAATTTCTCCAATTGTCCCTCAATAGTCTTTAGCTTTTTTTTTTTTTTTTCTCCTGAGATGGCGTCTCGCTCTCGCTCTGTCACCCAGGCTGGAGTACAGTGGCCCGATTTCAGCTCACTGCAATCTCCACCTCTCGGGTTCAAGCAACTCTTGTGCCTCAGCCTCCCTTGTAGGTGGGATTATAGGCACCTGCTACCATGCCAGGCTAGTTATTGTATTTTTAGTAGAGACGTGGCTTCGCCACGTTGGCCAGGCTGGCCTCCATTTCCTGACCTCAGGTGATACACCCGCCTTGGCCTCCCAAAGTGCTGGGATTACAGATTTGTTTTTAAAATAGTGATCTTCCAAGTTTGACCCATTGCTTCTGTTTGTTCTATCTCCTTAGTCTCTCTTTTTTTAAATTTAAATTTAAAGTTCTGGGGTACATGTGCAGGACATGAAGGTTTGTTACCCAGGTAAATGTGTGCCATGGTGGTTTGCTATACCTATCCCCGTCACCTAGGTATGAAGCCCAGCATGCATGAGCTATTTTTCCTAATGCTCTCCCTCCTTAGTCTCTTTTAATTCCTGATTCTTTGAAGAGTCCAGGCCAGTTTCCTCACTTCTCAATTAAGAGACCGGAGAGTAGAATGCCCACATTTTGGATTTGTCTTGTTATTTTCTTACACTGTCATTTAACTTGCTCTCTCTCCTGAATTTCCTGTAAACTGGAAGTTAGGTCTAGAGACTTGATGAAATTTCAGGGTAAGCACTTTCTTTCTTTCTCTTTTCTTTTCTTTT